GTGATTTAGAGCATTTTTTCTTATAACTATAGATAATTTTATTTCATCATCTGAAAACTGCCTATTCATTTCCTTTGACCATTTATCGATTAGGGAATGACTTGTATTCTTATAAATTCAACTCAGTTATCTCTATATTTGAGAAATGAGGTCTTTATTAAGGAAACTTGCTGCAGAAATTTTTTCACAGTTATGATTACTAACTGTATATTTCCCTCCATCCTATTTCCCCCCTATTTAGGGGGAAATATTCATGTATAAAAATGATGTAAGACCAAACAAAAAATAAAAAGAAACAAGTTTTTTTCCCAAAATGCACCAATTTCCTCATCCTTCATAGTCTTCTTCTTAAACATGATTCAAAGTATAGCAGAGCTAGATCATTCTTGTCAAGGCAATGACCTTGATGGCACTGCAGAAGGCAGCAGACATCATGACTTATCTGTTAGGAAATCCTTATATTCCCATTACCTCAGTGCCCAAAAGAAGGGTGCCTGCCTTCTTATCCCAGAAGATCCTCTTCTTAGCCTTTCTTACATGAAATTAATATGACTCAGGTATAGGAGAAGGAAAGTCTAACAGTGGCAAAGTCAGGGACCTACTTGAAACATGCCACAGGTATGCCACTGGTGGTGGTCCACACCAATGCAAATTGCAATATCTCCATTAGAATGTAAGCTCCTTTGAGGGCAGGGATGGTTTAGTTTTGTCTTTTATCCACAGCACTGAACACTTTTTTTTTTTTGGAAGGGGTAAGGTGGTTACTGGACCCCATAGGGAACTTCTGATGAGGGAACTCTATCAATGTAGGTTGATAACTACTATGCATTTTATGATCTTAGAGCATTGTTGGGGTATTGAGAGATGAATGGCTGGCCCACACAGCCAGTATGTGTCAGACGAAAGACTGCAACCTAGGTTTTGCTGACTCTGCAATCAGCTCTTTATCTGCGACCACTTTCATTTCCACCTGCTTACTCTCCTTTTGACTTCTCCATTATTCTCCCAGGAACCTCATTATTGGGAAATCTCTTCATTCTGTAAGATATAATCAGCCTTGTTGTTCATACCTAATCAATAACCTCTGCCCCTCTGATAAGAGGACCAGCCTTGAGCTCCAAAACTTCCATATAGAGGCAATTAGATGACACAGTAGATAAAAGAGCTGAGTCTGGAGTTGGGAAGACCTGAGTTCAAATCCAGCTTCAGATATTTCCTAGCAGTGTGAGCCTGAGCAAGTCTCTTAACCTCAGTTTGCCTCAGTTTCCTCATTTGTAAAATGGGGATGATAATAATAGCACCAACCTTGCAGGATTGTTGTGAAGATCAAATGAGATAATATTTGTACATAGGGCTTAGCACATGGTAGGTGCTACATGGACCATATACGGCGGGAGCCCAGGACAACCATCTCTTCATGCACTATTTTGGACACTTCATCATGCCCCTGTGCCAGGTATCTTCTCCCACTCCCTCTACCCTGCTCAAAGCCCTTCCCATTTTCAGCTTCCTTTTTTGTGTTATCTTCCTCTGTTAGATTATAAGCTCCTTAGGGGCAGGAACTGTCCTTTTTCCTTTTTCCTATTGGTATCCCCAGAACTTAACACAGTGCCTAGCACCTACCATGTGCTTAATAAATAAATGTTTATCGACACTGCCTGGCACATGAGTGCTTAATAAATACTTGTTGAATTGACTCAAAGTATTAAGTTACTTCATGTATTTGTATTTCAGACCTCTCTAGCTAAACTGCATACCTTTTAAGGGCAGGAACTGAATCTCCTTCATTCACTTCTCTCATCCCTTCTAATGGCTCACATGGTCCTGAGCACAGCGGGTTCTCAAGAGCTGTTTAACCACCCAGGTGAAGAGATAGAGTGCTAAGAACACATACGGTCAATTGCTGTAAGATGACTCTAGGGTAGAAGGTGAGTAGAATTTTCTGTCAGGGCTAGAAAACACTGAAAGTTGCTCCTAAGAAAGTCTGTGGAGCATTAAGGAGAGGCTGGAAAAACAGCTCTCTTGAAAACAGGGTAAAGCATACCCTGTTTCAAGATAAGGAATAGTTCAAATGATACTCCCACATTTATGTTGTTTTTGTTGTTATTTGTCCTTCATTCGCAAAGACGACCATGACATTAGGGAGGTGATGCCATGACATGCAAGTGAACTGGATTTAAGTGAGGGAGGGCTGTGCAAAGTCACCAGCCTCACTTTCTCCTCCAAAGCCATCTGGGTCCAGCAGCCAGATATAGATCAGGACCACTGGAGGTGCCCCTCTCCCCCCCATTTTTTGTGCATGATGCTCAACAAAATATTCTTCCAAATGAGTCTGTGAAGTTGGTAGTATTACCACCCCCATTTTATAAATGACAGAACTGAGTGAAGTTCAGAGACTTGGTGAGTTGCCCACTGTAATACCGTAAGTGTTACAATCAGAGCTCAAACCTAGATGTTCTGACTCCAAGCCTAAACCACTCTGCCTCTCATAGTGGGATTCCTTCTAGTCTATCTCTCAAATATCTATCTATCATCTCTCAAATGCCCATGCCATTGAAGACTGCCACAGTACTGTAGGAGAGTATAATCTAAATGAAAAAAGACTAGGAAGAGGGAAGAGAGTGAGGAGAGCAGGGAAACACCTGCTCAGCAGGTCAAGGCACTTCTGACACCTGCCTGAGAGGCAGAAGAGGACATAAGATCTGTCTTGCCACAGATAAACTGCAATGCAATTCATCTAGAGCAGCCAGTCTTTCTAGTTGAGTGCAATTAAAAAACTATTTACTAAATGCCTACTGTGTTCAAGGCCCTGTGACGGGGCCTAAGGAAATGACACAGACCCTGCTCTCAGGGTGCTTACAATCTCTTGAGAGGAAGAACAATTGCACAAATAACTGGTACAAGGGAGAGGGAAACAAGTGAGGAGAGGGCCAGAATATGAGAAACCAGAGATGGGAGAGATCACTTTCACCTGAAAAAGAGGTTATAAAGGATTTCATGGAGGTCAAATACAAGCTGGGTCATGAAGAATGGAAAGGACTTTGACACATGGAGGCATTCCAGGGATGATTACACTGTGAGCAAAGGCAGGTCAAATGAAGATGGCAGTAAATAGTAAATAAAAATAGTTCATATTTATATAGCACTTTAAGATTTAGAAAGCACTTTACATATATTATCTCATTTGATCCTCACAATGGCTTCATTTTATAGACGAGGAATCTGAGGTTGGAAAAGATTAAATGATTTTCCAAGGGCCACACATTTAATAAATGACTGAGGCAAGATTCAAACTCAGGATCCCTGGACCCAAGACCAGCCTCTATCTATCACAACACCTAGCTAGCTAGCTTCCCTGGGACATAGACTTGAATGGGATGGGGGAGGGGTGGTTTAAAAAAAAAAAAAGACTGATGACTTAGGTTGAAGCCAAATCCTGAATACTAGGGAGATGTGTTGATGCGCTATTTTCAGTAGGCATTGAGGAGTCACTGAAGGGTTGGGTTTTTTTTGGTTTTTGTGTTTTGTTTTGTTTAACGAAAGGACCAACAAGGTCACAGCTATTTATTGGTAGAATATTCAGGCAATGGTGGAGCTGTGATCTGGTCCACCCATTCATTTTGGAAAGCAGATTGGAACTATTCTCAAAAAGCTATTAAAATGTGCATACCCTATGATCCATCGATACCACTACTAGGTCTACATCCCAAAGAGGAGAGCAAGAGGAAAAAGATTTATCTATACAAAAATATTTATGGCATCTCTTTTTGTGGTGGCAAAGAGTTAGAAACTGAGAGGTTGTCCATTAATGGGGGAATGGCTGAACAAGTTGTGGCATATTAATATGATGGAATACTATTGGGCTATAAGAAAAGATGAATTGGACAATTCAGAGAAACCTGGAAAGACTTATACAACTGATGCAGAATGAGGTGAACAGAACCAGGAAAACAATTTATACAATAACAATATTGTCATGACAAACACCTTTGAAAGACAGGAACTCTGATCAACACAATGACCAACCACAGTTCTAATGGACTCAAGATGAAACAAAATAACCACCTCCTGATAGAAAAGTGATGGAATCAGATTGTAGGACACTTTTTTTTATATGACCTATGAGGGAATGTTTTGCTTGACTATACATGTTTATAACAGTTTTGCTTTTTCTGCTTTCTCAATGGGGGAGGGGAGGGAACAAAAGGGGATAATAGTGTCCCCAAAAAAAGAGGGGGAAAGAAAGAAAAAGGGAGTCATTGAAACATATTTCTGAAAAAATAGAAAAGAAAAAGGAAAAAAGGAATCACAAACAACTTCAAAAGTAATGTTAAATTTATTACATATTTTTTTAAAAAATCAAGCTGTACATCATAGAGATTCAGTTTCATGTACAACCCCTCTGTTCTAATGGGTATCTGGCAACTATCATTTTAGTTGACGTTTATTAAGTTCAGGATTTTTTAAATGGGTTATTACTCAAGCAGTAGTGTAAAAGATGAATTGAAGGGAGATAATGGAGATAGGAAGACCAGTTAAGAAGCTTGGTGAGAAGAGATGAGGGATTTATACAAGGATTGTCTCTGAGTAGAGCAGAAAGGCTAGATGCAAGAAACACTGTGGAAATACAACGGACAAAACTTGGCAACTAGTTAGATATAAAGGGTGAGAGGAACAGAGAATCAAAGATGTTTCTGATGTTTCAAGCTGGGTGACTAGGAGGGAAGAATACGAAAGAAATGGGAAAGGACAGACTTAGGGGAGAAGAGGATGAGTTCAGTTTTCAGAGGACCATAGATTTAGAGCTGGAAGGGACGTTAGAGACTACTGAGCCCAATCTCCTCATTTATAGAATGAGGAAACTAAGTCTCAGAGAAGAAAGGGAATTATTGAAGGGTTTTTTTTGTTTTGTTTTGTTTTTTGTTTGCTTTTTTGTTTTGGTGAGGCAATCAGGATTAAGTAACTTGCCCAGGGTCACACAGCTAGTGTCATGTGTCTGAGGCCGGATTTGAACTCAGGTTCTCCTGAATCCAGGGCTGGTGCTCTATCCACTGCGCCACCTAGCTGCCCCCTGAAGTTTTTTAAACAATGTTAAAACCAAAAGGGGTCTTGGATACCATTTCACCCAATCATCTGATTTTTGAAACAGGTAAACTGAGACCAGAGACAGGGAAGAAAGGGAACTTGCCCAAGGTCACATAGCAAATAAGTGATAAAAGGTAGAACCCAAAATCAATTCTTATGATTTCAAGACTGTGACTCTTACTAATTTTATCACACTGTATGTCCAATAAGCTGTTTTTATTCAAATAGACTAACTTTCAAGGTACAAAATACAATGCTGGATGAGTGCTTTTTTATATTCCATGACAGATATGATAATAACTAAGATACCTGCCATTAGCAAATAGCCTTCTTTTAAGAAAAAAAAAAAACCTAGAACTTTAGGGTGATACAAAGCTGTTTACATGTATGTGTGTGTGTGTATTATATATATATAGAAAATCTTTTGACATGCCAAAATAATCTTAAATTAAACACAGTGGACAAATTTAGACAGGTATTGTAACAAACAACATCAATACTGAATCTTTTTTTTCTTTCAAATCAGCTTAAAAAAAAAGTCAATTCCTAATCGGTGTGAGCTTTTGTCCTCATATGGACATTATTGCCTCTGATGAAGAAAAAAAAAACATAAAAATAAATGTCAACTGGAACCGAAGATGCATATATAAAGTAGGTTGCAGTGCCCTAATCTCATTTTGGAAGTATAAATAACTTGTCAAGGGTCACAGAGGTGCAGTGAGGAGACATAGAAAAGTGATGCATGAAATAACTAACAGACAACGGAGCTTAAAACCACAAAGGATTTGGGTATCCTGGGCGCTTGGAGGCAGTGGTAGAGGAGGGAAAGGGCAAAGTGGGAAGCAGGGAGTTTCTCCTCTTCCCCCATCACCCACTCTGACTCCTTTCCTCCCCCAGCCACTAATAGCAGGAGGAGGGAAGGCAAGTTCAGCACCAGCAATGGAGGGTCTCAGGCAGCAGTTTCTCAAATGTTCTCCCTCTCTTCTGAGTGTAGGAAGCATCACAGTATGTCAGACCTAAAAAGGACACACAAAAAAGGTCTGAGGTTAAATCCTACCTTCTCTAGGAAGCCTTCCCTACCTCCTCCTTCTCTTCCTTCTTTTTTGTCAGACCTGTGATTTTATGTGTGTATGGAGCTCCAGATTGAGCAACTACTCCCAACACAGACTGACCCTTTCTTGTGGTCTTACAGGCTATGAGGGGCCCTGAGAGGTTCTCCAACTTCCATCCAGTTCTCTTTCAGCTGACCTCCTAGAGCACTTAGTATCTGGTCCACATCATTTGTCACCTGGACAATTACCCACCACCTGATGTTACTGTTCAAAGTTCTTTAGTATGTGGGTTTTACCTCCCCAGACCGAGAGCTTCATGGAGGCAAGCCCTGGGTCAGCTCCTCCTCTATCTCAAAAAATTGGGAGCTCCCAGAAGGCAGTCTGGCTCAAGCAACAAGCATTTATCAATAGATAAGCTTTTTCTCAGCTGTGCTGCTTAGAAGAAACAAACTAAGACTGGTTGGTCAGGGCACAGGGCTGTATCAGGAGGCTCCAAAATGCTTGTTGGTTAATTAACTGACTAACTGAAGTCTGACACAGGCTCCCCAAACAGATCTCTGGTGGAAGGAGAGAAGAGGTAGGGCATTGGAAGAGGCTGCCTTAATGATCATAAAATGTTGGTAATTAACTGCTTCCCTCTTAATGACTTAGAGGAAATTAATTGTGTTGTACCTTTAATTCAAGAATTAAAGTTATGTGTGTGTCAAATTTCCATCTAGACTCTATGAGAGCAAGGAACTTTATCTAAATTTCCCATCTCTCCTGAGTACTCCGTACATGTTGTTCTCCCCATGAAACCTTCCCTGATCCCCACACCTCCAGGTTACATTCCTCTGTTCTCTCTGTCTCTCTCTTTCTGTCCCCCTTCCTCTCTGCCTCTTCTCTCTTCGTCCCTCTGTCTCTTTCTATCTCTCTGCACATACACAACACATGCACACAAATACAGAGTGGATAGTCAGCTTCATAAGTAGGGAGTCCTGGCTTCAAGTCCTGCTCCTAACGTATACTGGTTGTGGGCATTTGGGCAAGTCACTCAATTTTTCAGTGTTCTAGGCAACTCTCAATAAATTATAACTCATAGAGAAGATACCAGTCTGCATTGGTAGAAGGATTTCCTCATCCAGAAGTTCCTTATACCTATAAAATCACAAGTCCTGTTTCTGGTCACCTTCATTTCCAGATATATCCTCCCCCTTCCCCATCGCCTTCCCCCAGTCATCCCCTTGAAACAAAAATTTTAAAAGAGAACAAAAAAATTAACCTACATCAACAGTACATACTATGTTAGCCACCCAAAGTCCCTCTTCTGTAAAGATGCATTTTCTCTCTTAATCTATCTCTCTTTGTTCTTTCTAACATACTCTAACATTATCCTCTTATGGCTCTTCAAACATTCTGGTTTTTTGGTTCTAGTTATTTCTCTATGTGTGAATGTCTCCCTCTTAACCCTCCCATAGTTCCCCTAGACTGTGAGGCAGCTGGGTGGTATAGTGGATAGAAAGCCAGGCACCCTAAGTTCAAATCCAGCCTTAGACCCTCACCAGCTTCACGAACCTGGACAATCCACTTCGCCTCAGTTTTCTCAACTGTAAACTGGGGCTAATAACAGTACCTACCTCACAGGTTGTGAGGATCAAAGGAGATACTTTATGTATACAGAAGTGCTTAATTAATGCTTGTTTCCTTTCTTTCTAGTCTTATCTACCTGTGACTCTTCCTCTCAACCTCTTCCTCAGAGAATCATGGGTCCTATCCACATCAAGGGTTCAGCAAATTTTTGCCCAATTGGAGATCCATTTTTTTGAGGACCAAGCAAGAGAAAAGTATTCATAGCTCTTGACTTGCAGTGGAAATAAAGAGTCCTGGGTGTGGAGGGAGGACCCAAGTTTCAAATATATTTACTAGCTTTTCAGCCAGGTGCAAATCTCAGCCTCTCTGAACCTTGATTCTTATTTCCATAAAATAGGAACCTTGTTGGAAGAGTCTTTAAGTGGGCATCTTCCTCCACGGCATTGGATGCTGACCACAAGCACAGCAGGACTGTAAAGATGTGGCCTGCTGTGAAACCTCATTTGTGAAAGCCTCCCTGTGTTCCCTTCCCATACCTTCACCAAAGATGCCCTTGATATGATACATGCCCAGCTTATTCTCATAAATATTTTGTATAAATATGAAAGTAGGCATTTTGGTCAGTCAGTCAGTCAACAAGCATTTAAGTACCTACTATGTGCCAGGTGCTGCACTAAGCACTGTAGGTCAGCACTTTGGAATATTTTCTTAGATTTAGAGTGGGAAGGGACCCCTAGGCCATCTAGTCCAATTTTTTTTACAGATGAGGAAACTGAGGCCCAGAGAGGTGAACTGATTTGCTCAAGGTCATATAAGTAGTAAATACCGGAGCAAGAATTTGAACCCAGAACTTCTAACTCCAAATCCAGCAACCTTTTATTGTACATGAATCCCTGCCTTCATTCTTGATCTCTCTTTTTTGAGGGGGAAACAAGAGGTAATAAAATCTGTGATTCTTTTCCCTAAGCATCCACTGAATTGTAATAAAGATAATACCACTACTTCTTGGTGCTATTTGTGAGTAAAGTGATTCACCCCAGTAGAGTAGGGGGATGTGAACCTTCCGCCTCTGCCATTCACCATCAACCTCAGTTTCCTCATCTGTAAAATTGACAAACCGCGTCTAAGGTCTCTTCTAGTTCTAAATCTATCATCCCAAGTATTTTTAAAAACCTGTGGTCTTTTATTCACATACATCATGTCTCAGTAAACTCTCCTCAGGTGAGCTGTTCTTGGTCTCTGTTTGCTGGAAGGCTGTACCACTTAGAACACTTGTCTGTAGGCTAGGCCAGGGCAGAGGACTCACAATCTTGGGAGACATCTTACTCCAACCAACACTCCTGAGCCCCTTCTCTCTCCCAATATTCTTGCCTGGATACCTTTACAAGTGCCCCTTACCTGGTCTCCATCCCGAGTGCTCTCAGGAGACTCACCAACTCGTGATTCCCAGCAGATTCTGCCTGGAAAGGAAGTTTTGCATAGTTATTGCTGCAGCTATATCTGGCAAACAATCCAGAAGAAAAGAAGGGAACACCCCGCCCCTTCCCTGTCAGCTCCTGATGGGTCATCTGTGGGTGGATCATCTGGCCAGAGCTAGGGCCTCCTCCTTTCTAGGATGCTGCCTTCAGTGACTGACCTACCCTCCAGCCCCTGATCCTTTCCTGCTTTTGCATCATCTCCTCAGTCAGACTGTGTTCCGCACCCCCCACCCTCCGTTGGCTAGACCCAGGGATGCTCATCTTCTGTACCCCACCTTCCACCATGACCCTCCCTGAGGGTCTAGTTTGATTCTCCCATCCCCCCAGGATGAATTCTTAGACAGCAGGGCTCAGATCTGTTCCTGGCCCCAAACTATGAGATTCTTGAGAGCGGCATCTGAATCTACTGCATCCACCAAATCCAGCAATACTTTGGTATCCAGAAGTTGTCTTTTACTCAGTGGCTATATAAATCATAGACCATAGAACTGGAAGGAAGCCGAGAAATCATCTACTCCAACCACCTCATCTAACAGACAAGGAAACTAAGGTCCAGTGGGAGGAAATAATTTGTACCAAGTCTTACATGGGTATATGAATTATCAATTTAGAGCTGGAAGGGACCTCAGAGGCCATCTCAAACAACACCCTCTTTTTGCAAGTGAGGAAAATGAAGCCCAGAAAGTTGAATGACTCGCCCAAGGTCACACAGATTTTAACACATAGAATTTGGATCGAAGTCTCTGGTACTCTATCTAATACATGGTGCCTTATGGGTAACCAGATGTTTGCTTGTTTTATCTATATATGGACTCCCTACCATCACCACCACCACTGTCGAGGGTACTGTTTGTTACACAGTGGTCAGTCAATCAGTCAATTCACAAGAATTTATTAAGCACCTACTACATGCAAGGCACTATGCCAGGTGCTGAGATACAAAGACAAAAATGAAACAATCCCTGCCATTAAGAGCTTACATTCTTTTGGGGAAAGAGATAGATGTATAGGTAAATATACATCCTATGTATTTTAAGCTTTAATAGTTTAAAACAGCATGAAGACTTTGGGATACCCATAGATATATAAGAATATATATATGCATATATAGCAGGTTGTATTTAAGCTGAGCTTTAAAAGAATCTAGGGATCCTAAGGCAGCAGTGAGAATAGAGACCATTCTAGGTATTCATAAGTATTTCCAAGCCTAGCACTGAGACTTGTCCCGAGGCCTTGAGCTTCATTCTGCTAGGAAAAGGAGGGCCAAGAGAAGGAATAAGAAGAAAACACTGACTATGCCATGTGGAGCTTGTTGAGAAAGCCAAAAGCCTCCTATGAAATCATTTAAGGCAGACTGTGTAACAGGAAAGAACCAAGTGATGTCATGTATGTAGTAGAGTGGAAAGTAATGCCAGAACCCTGGAAACCTGGGTTCAAGTCCCAGCCCTGCTCCTTATTACTTGTGTGACTTTGGGCAAGACACTTACCCTCTCCAGGTCTCCTCAGTTTCACCCCTGAAAAATGAGGGTTTTGGACAATTGGAACTCTAAAGTTTGCTTCTGGCTTGAACTTTTTACAATCTTATGGTCCTATGACTTAGGAGGTCAGAAAAGGGAGAAATAAGTGTGATTAGGGGAGGCTAATGGAAGAACATCAAGAGGCAGTTAGTGGATAGAGCTCTGGGCCTGGAGTCAGGAAGATCTGAGTTCAATTCCAGCCTTGGACACTTACTAGCTGTCTGACCCTGTGCAAGTCACCTAACTTTTGTTTGCCTTAATTCACTGGAGAAGGAAATGGCAGACCACTCTAGTACCTTTGCCAAGAAAATCCAATGGACAGTACTGGTGTTATGGTCCACTGGGTCATGAAGAATCAGACACAACTGAACAACAACAAAAAGGAGGATGTAGGTCTTGAAATTTGGGACAGATTTAGAGAGGAGTGGGGAAGTCTCTTCAGATCAGAGACACAGGACAGGCAGAGATACTCAGGGATGAATCTGTGGCATCACTAGCTATCCTGTGGGCCTGGAAGCTGGCCCTTCATCATCCTTAGACCTGGCTTCCAAGAGACTCAGTTTCCCCACTAGATTCTAAATTTCTTGAACACAAAGTCGAGGAAAGCTACACGCAGAATCAGAAAACCTGTTTTCCAGGCCCAGCTCTGAAACTTATATGCTGTGTGATATTGAGCAAATTACTTCGGTTCTCTGGACATATTTTTGTTTTTACATCGTCTACATTTCCTACTGTATCCCAAACCTTATAATAAAGATTAAAAAAGAAGAATCACAAATAAAGTCAGATCTAAATAACTGGAAAAATATCAGTTGCTCATGGGTAGGCTGAGCTAATATAATAAAAATGACAATTCTACCTAAATTAATTTACTTATTCAGTGCCATACCAAACTACCAAAAAAAATATTTTATAGCGCTCGAAAAAACAATAACAAAATTCATCTGGAAGAACAAAAGGTCCAGAATATTAAGGGAACTAATGAAAAGAAATGCAAAGGAATGTGGCCTAGCTGTACCAGATCTTAAATTGTATTATAAAGCAGCAAACATCAAAACTACTTGGTACTGGCTAAGAAATAGAGTGGTGGATCAGTGGAATAGGTTAGGTATGCAAGACACAACAGTCAGTGACTATAGTAATCCACTATTTGATAAATCTAAAGACTCTAGCTTCTGGGATAAGAACTCACTATTAACAAAAATTGCGGGGAAAACTAGAAAATAGTGTGGCATAAACCAACATCTTACATCCTATACCAAGATAAAGTCAAAATAGGTACATGATTTAGATATAAAGACTGATACTATAAGCAAACTAGGAGAGCAAGGCATAATTTACCTATCAGATCTATGGAGAAGGGAAGAATTTATGACCAAATAAGAGATAGAGAACATTATGAAATGCAAAATGGATGACTTTGAAAAGTTTTTGCACAAACAAAGCCAATGCAACCAAGATTAGAAGGGAAGCAGAAAGCTGGGAAACAATTTTTACAGCCAGTGTCTTTGATAAAGGCCTCATTTCTAAAATATATAGAGAACGGAGTCGAATTTATAAGAATATAAGTCATTCTCCAATTGAAAAATGGTCAAAGGATATGAACGGGCAGTTCTCAGAAGAAGAAATTATAACCATCTATAGTCATATGAAGAAATGCTCTAGATCACTACTGATTAGAGAAATGCAAATCAAAACAACTCTAAGGTACCCCATCACACCGATCAGATTGGCCAACATGACAAAACAGGAAAATGATAAACGTTGGAGAAGATGTGGGAAAATTGGAACACTGATGCCTTGTTGATGGAGTTGTGAACTGATCCAACCATTCTAGAGAGCAATTTGGAGCTATGCCCAAAGGGCTATAAAAATGTGCATACCCTTTGACCCAGCAATACCACTTCTAGGTCTGTATCCCAAAGAGATAATAAAAAGGGGGAAAGGACCCACATGTACAAAAATATTTATAGCAGCTCTTTTTGTGGTGGCAAAGAATTGGAAATTGAGGGGATGTCCATCAATTGGGGAATGGCTGAACAAGTTGTAGTATATGAATGTAATGGAATACTATTGTGCTATAAAAAATGATGAGCAGGCTGATTTCTGAAAAACCTGGAAAGATTTATATGAACTGATGCTGAGTGAAATGAGCAGAACCAGGAGAACATTGTATGCAGTAACAGCCACATTGTGCAATGACTGCTTTGATAGACTTGGCTCTTCTCAGCAATGAAAGGATCTAAGACAACTCCAAAAGACTCATGATGGAAAATGCTATCCTCATCCAGAGAAAAAACTATGGAGTCTGAATGCAAATGGAAGTATACTATTTGCTCTCCTTTTCTTTTATTGTTCTCTTGTTTCTTCATTCTCATGGTTCTTCCCATTAGTTCTAACTCTTCTTTAGATCATGACTAATGTGAAAATATGTTTAACATAAATGTGTAAGTCAAGCCTATATCAGATTGCACACTGTCTTGGAGAGGGAGGAAGAGAGGAAGGGGGAGAAATTTTAAAACTCAAAATCTTATGGAAATGAATGTTTAAAACTAAAAATAAATTAATTAATTATAAAAAAAGAAGAATGTCAGGAAAACTAACCAGTATCACAAAGATCTAATATTATATGCAATATTCCATATCTGTGATCCTCTACCTCTGCAAAAAATGAGGAAAGTTGTCTTCTCATATCTCATCTTTAGGGTCATTATAATTTTGCATCATTCAGCTTCAACTGTTTTGTTACCGTTATGTTAGTCTCATAGAATATCTCTCTGCCTTCATGACATGGCTCAGGCAATACCTTCTACATGAAGCCTTTTCTGATCACTCCAACTTCTAGTGCCCTCCATGCCTAAATTCTTTGTATTTATTTGTATTGATTCTCTTTATAGCACTTAATATTGTATTACATTCATGTGCCATAGTTTAACCATGCCCCAATCAAGGGGCATCTATTTTATTTCCAATTTTGCTACAAAAAAAAAGTCCTGCAATAAATGTTGGTATTTCTTCTTATCACTGATCAACTTGGGGTATAAGTATTTTGTGAGATATTTGGGCAAAAGGGTAGGGACATTTTTAACCACTTTGTGTAATTCCAAATAGCTTTCCAGAATGGTTGTACCAACTCACAGATCCACCAATAAGGCATTAGTGCACCCATCTTTCCACAACCCCTCCAACACTGACTATTCCCACCTTTTGTCATTTTTGTCAATTTTCTGGGTATAAGGTGAAATAGGGTAGTTCTGATTCATATTTCTATTATTAGTGATTTGGAGCATTCTTTTATGGGTTATTAATAGTTTGCAATTCTTCTCTTGATAACTCTTTTACCATATGCTTTGTCTACTAATATATTAGAATAGTTTTGGTTTTGTTTATTTGTTGATTGTCCACAATCTTTGAATATATGTATCTGTATATACATGTATGTATATGTACATACACACACATATATATAATACACACACACATCAGACTCTTATCAGAGATGTTTGATACAACTTTTTTTCCCCAGGAACAATATCATCTGATCTAGATTTTGCTTGTGCTCTTTATGAATCAGTATATCAAGGCTCTGTGATTTAATCCATGTAAGAAAAATATCCATGAAACCTATCTAACTTGGCCAATAGATCTCAAGAACGTTAACAAATGTCACACAGCTTGTATCAAAAATAGAATGTGAACCCAATTCTTTTTGACTCCAGCTTCAGCACTTGACCCTTGATGCCATATTGCCCCTGTATAAAGTAGGTACTTAACATTTATTGGTTGAATCGACAAATATCCTCCTCTCCCTCCACAATAGTAAAGCACCATAACTTAATTAGAAAGTGGTAACCTGAGATTCTGAGTTGATTCTATGTAGGGCTTATGAGGGTCCAAGACAATAGTGGTCAAATCAAGGATTTGGGACCGTTTTTGCACTTGCATCCCCTAAAAGCTCCTGTAAAATGTATTCAAGGTCTCTAGGACAGCTGGGAAAGTCAGACTTACAACTTGCAGTGGGGTTTGCCCATCATATCCCGTCTGGAATAGGTCCACGCCTGCCTGTTGCCACGCTATCAGCCCATCCCTGTCACCGCTCGCAGCCAACCTGTTGGAGAGAAGCCATCAGCAGACCCAGCCCCGGGTCCCTGGGGTGGTGGCTGCAGGAGGCCACGGGTAGCATCTTGTGTCAACCAAAGGGATGCGGGCCAAGAGCCCAGGGCAGGTGAAAGAAGGAGGTGATTATGACAGCACCAAACAGCTGAGCAAGCAGCAGCCTGGGGGTGGGGGTTGGGAGGGGGAGGGAATTAGCTGTGAGAATTAATAGGGCAGAACAGAGTCTAGTTTCACCCAGTGGGTGTGACCATGACTAACCAGAGAGAGACACAGGAGAGGGAGAGCGTCTCCAGTTTCATATTTCACAACATAGTTTTTTTTCTCCCTCTGGCACTTTAAGAGCAGAATGTGTCTTAGTTAACATATAGTTCAAAGTAGGAGAGAAACAGGAGGGAGGGAAAGAGGATGAGGGAATACAGCTGTTTGACCATATCACCTGGGAGGTTGAGAATGAGCATCCCAGAGCTAAGAATAGCTCCATGGCATTACTTCATCCAGCTAGGTCTTGTTACCCATCAGAAGCAAGGAAGCAGCCTTACCCATCAAAATGCCCACCAATAGGGAGAAGAAAAGGGAGAAAGAAAGGCTGGAAGCATCATTCTTCATCCCTCAGGTTCTTCCCTGCTTCCTGAATAAACTACTGACTTCTTCCACCCCACCCCTCCTCTCCGTGCTCCCAACCTGAGCCAAATTGGAGAAGGCTCCGTTCCTGGGGCCTCTCCAGGTGGGTAGGTGATAGAGAAGGTCATAGGTAATGTGCTGAGGACAAGAGAACTTCAGAGTCCTTCAACCTCTGACTGCAAAGGATCCATGAACTCTGGCATGGACACACCTAAGATCATAGGGAGGGAAAAGTACTTTCATGTACTTAGCTACAGATGATAATTAATCCTTCATTGTTTAATCTTTCTCTTTATGCTGTACCTTAAGACCTCCAGCATCCCTGGACTATATCCCACTACAAAAAAAAAAAAAAAAAAAAAGAACACCACTCCCCAGGGACACACAACACAGGAGAACACAGAGAAAGCCATTCAGGTAACCAGACTCCCTAGTGCTGACAACTCAGGGACCCTGAGATTCCACTTGGCTTTCTTCCCTTTCTTTCCCTCTCCCACCCTTCCTCCTTGTGAGCACAATATAAGGGGCAGTTTAGAACATACAGGTCCAAAAGTCTGAGCTCCCCACGGGCAGTCTCAGAGGGAGAGGGAGAGGGAGAGGGAGAGAGACAGGCTGGTGCCCTCATTAAGATTATTGACTATAATTGCTGCCTTCCTGCCCCTACAGTTGAATTGTCCAGCCTTCATGTTTGTGGTGATAGTGGGGAGGAAGCAGCCTCGAGCATTGCCTTACTAGAGACAGAGATGGACAACTGTTTGCTAAAGAAAACCAGGATGCTTCCAAAGTCCCTTCCAGCTCTCTCAATGATGGATGCAGAGCTCTTCCATATCCAGTCCTGTCTCCAAACTCCTCTAAGAGGCCCCATTGCCCAAGGCTCTGGGGAAGGTGGGCAGTAGGGGAGGGGGTAGAAGAATCAATCCTGTTCCTTATGGGAGGCTGAGTCACAGCCAGCGCCACAGAAAAGAGCCATCCCAGATCTGTTTTCTTGAAATTCTGGAGCTCCCAAACTTCAATCTTATCTTCTGGATGCCAGCTTCCCTCCTGGGGAGGGAGGACCTCCAGTATTAGCCAATGTGCCAGGTACTAATCAGAAACATCTCTTTCATCCCCCCTCCCCTCCACCCCTTGCAAGTGCTCAGGTAATAGGGTAGGGTTATTTCCCAGGGTGAGTAATACCCCCATTTCCATGGCTAAGAGGCCAGGGAAACCCACCCCTACTCAGTTCCAAAGAAGTCAGCCCTTTCCCTGGCCGTGGGACCTTCCTTAATCCTGACTTCAGGGCAAGTTGGAAGTATGGGAGATTGAGGGGGAGGAAAGAGCATAGACCACAGCTCTCAGAATCTAGGGAAGGCAGGAGACCTGGAAGGGAGCTAAGCTTCTCACCCCCCATGAATCCATTGAGCTCTTGCCTGCTCTGCCAGCCCAGGGAAAAGGAGGTCACATAATGTTGGGGTCTCATAGAACACATATCTCTACCACTTTGGGTTGGTGCTGCTCAAGACAATCCTTCCAGGTGGATTATGACAATGATGATGATGATGATGGTGGTGGTAATAATAATAACATTTATAGAGAGTTTTAGGATTCACAACAACCCTGTGAGGAAAATAGTGCACTATCAGCCCCATTTTACAGATGAGGAAACTGAGGCTTGAAAAGGTTCAGAGGCCCAATCAATGTCACAAAGCTATCAGAATCAGGATTCAAACTCAGTTGCTTCTATTCCAAGGTTTTTGTTTTATTCTTCAACTATCTCCAATAAAAAGAACCCTCCTAGAAGACAGAAGGAATACTCCTCACTCCCATACACCCCCTCCCCACAAATAAGTAGCTTGTATGCCGGGGGGAGGTGGCAGGAGATGCCCTATTGTGGACCCTTTGCCAGGAGGAAGGGCTGGTCAGAGATGCCACAGCCTCTGGACACTGAATTCCTTAATACTGGGCTTAGCCAGATCCTAAAGGGACCACCACTGGCATGCTAGTGTTTAGTGAATGTGACCTGATCTACCTAGCTACCTCAAGAAATAATTCACAGGATCATAGACATTTAGACAGGTAGAACATTTAGAGAACATTTAGGAGGAAAAAAAACCCTCATTTTATAGATGAGCAAACTGAGGCCCAGAGTTTAAACGACTTGCCCAAATCCATATAAGCAGCAAGTAGCAGAAAGAGAATTTGGACCTAGGTCCTTTGGTTCCAAACTGAGAGCTCTTTCCATTGTACCATGCTGTCTTCAAGAGCAATATGCCCTTACCCTGTCTCTGCACCCCAGCCCCCTTTCACCTGCTCCTCCAACCCAGGGTCTGGACTCTGACAAGGTCCCTCAGCCATGGGGACAGCCCAAGGACTTCCTAAAACAGCCTGAAGATCTGCCTCCCCCACCCCCAGTTGTGCAACAGAAACTTTAAACTGAAGCTAGTGTGGTATGATATAAGGAACAGTGCCAATCTTCCTCTGAACTATTTCCATTTTCCACATTGACCTCTGCCCCAACCATTCACTCCCCCACCTGTGGGTAAATGGTCTCTGACCTCACCTAGAACTGCCACTCTGGAATCACAGAATGTCAACACTGGGAGCAATGTTAGGATCACAGAGAATCACAGAGATCATCTCTGCCAGAACTGGAAGGGATTTCAGAATAAGAGAATATACACTGTCCCTGGGGAAAGGTTTGCCTGCAAGATGCTTTATGTAAAAACAAAAAGTATCAATAATATTCTTTTAAAATCATAGAAGGCAAAACATCTGAATTGGAAGGGACTGAAAGACCATCTTTTCTAACCCCTTCGTTTCATAGATGGGGAAACAGAGGAGAAAGAAGCAACTTTTCCAAGGTCACAGAGCTTGGATCATTGGACCCAGAACTTAGGATCATTTGGAACAGGGAAAGATCTTAAAGCACATCTAAGGAGATGGGACACAAAGCTTTTTTTCTTCTTAGGTTTCTGTCTTCCTACCCAACAAATATTGGTTCCATTCTCTCCAGAATCCACCCTAGAGATGGCCTAGAATAATACTCAAAGCCTCTGCTAATTAAGCTGTGGTGGGAAGGAGCCTTGATTATGATCAGAGATGTCTCACTCAGTATCTCTTTTCCCTGAGTATTAATCATAAGTTAGTAATAAACTCTTCAAAGGGTTAATCACAGCTCAGCACCAGCACTTTTGATGGGGAAGAGAAAGGGGCCTGGCTTCTCTCATCCAAAATTGTCTGTCCTTCCTTTTACAGAGGATGTTATCCTTATCTTTTCCCCCATTTTAAAAAGGGGGTAAATGAGGCCCACAGTGGGGAAGTGACTTGCACAAGGGCAAGTTGACCACCTCCTTCTAGAGGGATCACTTCCTCTCTAAAAGATGCCATTGTTGCCTGGACCTTGGGCTCACTTTGAGGTGGCTCTTGTTTCAATAAAACTTCCCAAACTGGACGTGCTATTGGGTAAGAACCCTGACCCGGGAATCAGGAAGCCTGAGTTTGCCGCGTCAGCCATATAATCACTGTGATTACATGTGAACACGACACTTCATAGAACAAGAGAGAAACGGGCCTTAGAAACTATGAAGTCCAACCTCCGTAATATAGAGGCATCGTGAGGGGAAGGGATTTGCTCAAGGTTACCCAGCAAGTCAAAGTCATTGACAAGACTCAAACCCATAGCTTGTCTCAGTTCAAGTCCACAGTTCTTTTCACTATGCCATGCTCTCAAAACCCCCTCTCTGGACTTTGATCTCTTTATCAAATGGGAAAAACGATACCTACTTGAAGGCATAAGACTGGACAAAGTGATTTTGCATAGCTCTAAGATCTATTCATCAAGTTAGGACTTTGGTGTCTGGGTCCAAGATTTCCCAGTTAATTTTTATGCAATAGAGACTTAAAAATGAAGCTAGTGTGGCATAATATAAAGAATAATGAATTTCAATCCAAAAGGATCTGACTTCAAATCCCAGCTTGGTTACTTGCTCCTTGTGTAACCTTGGGTACCTAACCTCTCTGGATCTCAATTTCCTCATTGATAAAACTAAAGTATTGGGCTAGACAGTCCCCAACGACCTTTCCAGACCCAAATCCCAGCATTTTTTTGGTAGAGGGCAGGATGTGCAGACCTGGGATTTTACTAGTCAGGGAACTCTCACTCTACCGATGCAGCCCATCAGTCGTTGGGCAAGTTAGTCTTAAAGAGATGCTTTATTCACTGCAAGTGACTTTCCCAGGGTCAAAACCAGTATGTGACAGAGGAAGAACCTGAAAACAGGTCCACCTGCCTTTAAAGCTGGCTCTCTATCTACAAGGCTACATAGTCTCTCATGAGTCAATCTTATCTCTACAATCCTATGAAATTAGCTATCCACTCAGAGACCACCCCCC